AAAAAAAAAAAAAAAAAGTGGGATGGGTGTTCAAACTGAAAGAAAACTTCAACAACAAAATATACACACCACACATAATGTTCTAGTGCTCAGACTTCAGGGGGGAGGCATACATGTTTTCTGGGCGATATTTGCATTTTAGCCTTTAAGTGACTTACTCCACATAAAATCCAAAGCAAAGCTATAACCGCAACCCACACTCCTGGGGGGTGGTATATCATATTAAGCAAGTTGGTTGTTTGCTTCTTTGTTTTGTTTGTTTTCCCTGTGAGTGTTCTCTAAGAAACATCAACTCTGAGATCTGGAAGCTGAAACTGAAAACGCCACTAAGGATATGCAATGCTGCACAGCTTGAAGGGTAGGATCTGAGGCTCCGTGTTCTCAAACCAGATCCCTGAACCTCTATGAGGTCAGCCACCTTGGCAATCAATTTAACTGACCTAGTCAGCCTTCCTTACTGAGTCTCTTAGCAGAGGTGAATCAGAGTATTCCAGACCTCTCTAGTTCCTACCCAAGGTGTTTGTGTATCTGACTGCAGGATACATTTGGGCTGTGTCTCCAAGAGACCTCTGAGAGCTACTATGAGTAACTGGGACCCTACTACAGCAGTGACAGTTCCCTCAGTGACAATGACTGTGGCAGGACCCTGAGGCCATGGGGATGGCCCCCTCCATATGTGAGCTCTCAGCACCCTGTACATGAATGTTCACTCCTTGGGGACTTACTTTTATTTATTAATGGGAACTCAGGGACCCCATCTTTCCTTCAAAATTCTCTGTGACTACATCAAAGAAAAAAGGAATCAAGATTGGCCTTGTCAACCTTTTTTATATGCTTCTAAATATGATTAAGAGGTAGTGTTCTCTAGGCCTTGTATAGAAAGTTACCTTCAGTACAAATTATCCCCCAAGAACCAAGGAAAATAAAGAGGGGAGTCTCACACTGGCTGGCTTTTCCTGTGTGTTGTATCCTTGGGCTCTGAGACAGATTTCAAGTTCAGTTTCCAGGTTTGTCATCCCCACTCACCCGTCCTCCACTCCTCAGCAAGTTTACAGCCGTGTATATTTAGTCTCAGCTTCCAGAAAAGGTTCAGTTGACTTGAGAAGGACTAGCAATTGCTGATTGGGAAATTGTGTATTCTTAAAATGGGGGAGAGAATAAAGGGAAACAGAAATACAAAGGGGAGAGTAATTAGTTGAGCCAAAGTAGAAGAAACTGTGTCTATTAGAGAAATGGTCCAAAGGGAAGGAAGACCAGAAACAGGATCCCTAGTGTCCAGGAAGCCTTCTCAGGTTGACAAGTCTCCTGAACAGCAAGTTAGATCTCCCTGTCCTGCTCCAGCATTAAGCAGCCTGCCCCTCCTGTTCTGATGTTATCCTCCTACAAGTAGTCACCTTGGAGAGCAGTGGTAGTGGTTGCAACACGCTGACTTGAGGTGGAGATGTGTATATGTGAATCATGGTTATGCTGTCAAGGAGCCCGCCTGGATCTGGGAAGCAGAGCGAAGGTATGAAGTCAACGAGCTACAGGAGAAATTAGCCCAAAAAACGTTTGGGGAAAGATGAGGGGGTGGTAGTGGGCATTTGAGGGGATCTCATGATAAGGAGGTCAGACTTGGCTTCAGTTTCTGGTGGAAAGAAATTAGGAAACTGGTGATACATCCCAGATGTTGAAGTGAAAATATTTATGCTTTTAGAAGGGATAAGTGACAAAAAAAAATTGGTGCATAACCCCCATCTTAGAAGGCCTCTATTGTTGTAGTCAAAAGGGTGGATTTATTCCTCACTAAAAATTTTCCATCAATTTCACCTTTATTATAGGGTCTCATTTCGTATTTAGCTATCAACTTAATTTTTAGCCTAAGCAAAAGTGGTTATTTGTGAACAGGGATATTTTCCTTCACACAGCTGAAGAACTGATCTAACCATTAAGAACAAACAAAATCCGAGCTGAAAATATAGGCCCCACCCAAAGTTTCTCATTTTTCTCATTATTAGTAGTGATGATAATGAGAGCAAACCTTTATGAGCACCTGCTATAAGCCAAGCAGCCAAGCACTGCTGGATTGTGCTACCTAAGAAGAGCTCTGATTAAAATGAGTGAAAAGTTTAAGATATAAAGAGAGGATGATTTCTCACTGTTTCCAGATTCTTTTATCCAGGTTACGTTGTGTATGTGTGGTGTGGAGTCAAGGGGTGTGTTAAACCTCTTTGAGTTCTATATTCTTTCTAAACTTATTTTTATGCCTGTGTGTCTCCAAGTCTTCTCAAGATTAAGAAAATATCTGGGCCACTTCTATTTTTTGGAGTGCCCAGGTATATTTACAAAATGAAGAAATGACAATAGGGCTTTTTTAAAAATGCAATGTTTTTATTTTTAAAAATATAGCATAGTGCAATTATACTGCGCACAAGATAAACACAGGACATATAAAGAATGTTAACTGATAACGGACTTAGAGCAGCCTGATCTAGTAACAGAGCACAATTTTTTTTGAGACAGGGTCTTACTCTTACCCAGGCTGGAGTGCAGTGGCACAGTCACAACTCACTGCAGCCTCAACCTCCCAGGCTCAAGCGATCCTCCCACCTCAGCCTCCTCAGTAGCTGGGACTGTAGGTGCACACTGCCATGGCCAGCTAATTTTTTTATTTTTAATAGAGATGAGGTTTTGCTGTTACCCAGGCTGTTCCTGAACTGAACTCAAGTCCTCCCACTCAGCCTCCCAAAGTTCACGCCTGTAATCACACTGGGATTACAGGCGTGAACCACCATGCCCAGCTTAGGGCACAATTTAAACCTGTAAAATAGATGCTATCTTTCAGTCCTCTCAGGGTTTCTCAGAGACTGTAAATGTAAAACCTTGTTTGAAGAACGTGTCTAAAAATCTAAGCTCAAGGGTCTTGTGGATGCAAGGCCCATGGTCAGATGGTCTTATGCCCTGATCCCCACACGCCTTCACAGACCAGGTATGAGCCTCTCTCCCAGACTTGCTTCCTCTAAGAAGCTGGTCCTCAGCCACAATCTTTAAATAAGGAGCAGCATCAATCCCAGATTTCTAAGTATTTCTGTTTTTCGTTCTGCTTCCTTATGTTTCTCCCTGCTCTAAGTCCTCAAACCCCACCACCACAGCTGGGCAGGCTTCCCCTCATAGGAATGGGGGGCAAGGGTGGAGGAAAGCGTAGCCCTCCTCTCAGAGCCTCAGCATCACATGGTCAAACCTGGTTTCCCACAGGCAGGTTCAGCGGTCGGGAAACTGGCAGCGCAGGCTGACATGGGCCCTCCCTCTCACAGCCTCGGGAAGGAAGGAGGAACATGAGGACACCAGAACAGCAGCTTCTGGAATTGGCATTTCTCAGGCAGTCAGCACTGATCTCTCCTCAGCCCCCCTCCCAAGGCTGTGGCGGTTCTGGAGATGATGGCGGAAGTGCCCTTGCCTTCCCTCCACAGCACGCCTGAGCACTCAGCTTCCCTTCCCTTCCCTTCTTCCTGTCTTGTAGTGATTGCAGCAGAGAGCTCCATTTGGCAGCCTGGTGGTGCTCTTGTCTATTAATGGAAACATTGGCCTGTCTCCCAGTATAACACAAGATAGGCCTATGCATCAGTTATGCAATCTTTGCTCTGATGACTTCATCAGAAAGGGTGGGTACAAGAAGAGAGAAAGGCCCGGGTTGGGGAAAACAGTAGCTCAGGAGGGAAAAAAAAAAGTCTCTCAGCAGCTGAAGACAGCTGAGACTGCTCCCCCTCCCTATTTCTAAATCAAGGAAAGAAAGGTAGCAAACATATGGGTAAAAAAACCTAATGGAGCAGCTGACAAACCACTTTCAGTCCATGTGTCCTAACAGCGGCCACTTGCATGCCGGCAGAGGCTGTGCTCGCCTCCCTGGGGCAGGCTTCCCAGCCCTGGTGGCTATGGTTTTTTTTACAGCTCCAAAGAGAAGACAATTTGCGGAGGCAATGGCGGTTTTCACCCACCTCTCGAGTTCTTGAACTCCAAAGTTCTGGCTGGTTCTGGCCACGCACTGTGGCTTCAAGGCTAAGATGGAGAAAAGCCACAGCCAGCTGGGTGGTGCCGCAGAGAGCAGCCTTGTCCAGGTGGACCAAAGAACTCTTGGACGATGGTCAGTACCCTTCCTCTGGGACTTGGGAGCTCTTTGTGAAAGCAGTGGAAAGCTGACCTAGTTGCTGAACCTGTATCCAAGGCCAGTTGTTCAAGCCACTTACAGGTTTTGAAAGGGGACCTGCCAATTAAGCGTGTCTATTACACCCTCTAGAGCGTAAGGTGCACTCAGGGAGAAACAGTCCAGGTCCCAGACACAGCCTGGGCCCCTCTTGAACATTTCATTCCATATCAGTTTAGCCTCCTTATTCTTAACAAGCTTTTAAAAATAATATTAAAAGTAATATACATTCATAACGGAAAATATGAAAAAGCATTAAAATAAAACCCCTTATAATTCTTGTCTAACAAGACTATCCGGTGGCTAGTGTTTTAAAAACTGTTTTTGTTGTTGTTGAGTTTTAACACCAGAGGACATAAACAAAACAAAAACTGTTTTCCTCCCCTGCCTTTCTTAACTATATATGGTAACCTTTTTTTCTATGTGATTAGATAGTCTAAGGAGGCACGATTTTTATTGGCTGCCTAGTATTCATGGTATGGATGTACCATAATTTATTTAATCAAGCTTCTGTTGTTGTACACTAATGAACTTTTAACCAATTTAGAATTGCTTTGGTGGTGGAATTAATCACAAGAAAGGGATCAAAAGGACTCTGTAATTTACATCAAAGGCAGACGAAAAGCATAACTCCCAAAGTTGTGTTTCCTTTGGAGGGACCTATGGTAACTATGTTCAAAGCACTGATAAGGACAAATGGTATTTTTGTTGCTTTTATCCCCCCAAAAAAATGGCCTTGAAAGGCTGACCTTCCTGTGGCTGGTGGCACTCTCACATTTGCACTGGACTGCCAACTTTAACCCTTTCTTTAACATTCAGCAGAGGGTCAGCTCAGGATCTCGGAGAAGCAGTCCATTAAAGGGCCATCATTTTGTCCTCTCCAGTTATACCTGATAATTGGTTTAGGCTAGAATTCATCACAGCCAATTAGTCAGCTGAGTTCAGGAAATCTTTATTTTGTTGCAGCTGTGGCCATACTTCTGCGCTAGATACTCGAAAGACTCGTAGTCTTGGTCCCGAAGGAACTAAAAGCCTTGCCAGGAAGGATGCCATAAGGATATCATCCCGCCAGGAAATTACAACTCAGAAGCGTTTGGAAAGTTAGAACTTTCTACCTCTCCCATGTTAGTTAAGAATCAGTAGGGGGTGTATAATTGTGCATATACCATGATCATAAGCATAAAAATATGTTATTGCATATGGGAAAAAATTAGGAGGAACTATAAAAACACATCAAAATATTAACAGTGGTTATCTTTGAGTCTTCAAAATGAATGTTAGCTTTTTTCTTTATACTTTTTTCTATCTATACTTTTCTGCATTGTTTTCTTTATACTTTTTTTCTATCTAGACTTTTCTGCATTGTTGTTCAAATGTTCCCCAGCAATTGGAAAGCAGATGAAGGAATCAGCAAAATGTATATTTGTAAAATAATTGCCGTAGCAATTAGGCAGTTAGCTCCTAAAATAATGGGGACCAAGGCCTTTTTTTTTTTTTTTTTTTTTTTTTTGAGACAGAGTGTCGCTGTATCATGCCCAGGGAGGTGTGCAGTGGCGCAATCTCATCTCACTGCAACCTTCACCTCTCAGGCTCAAGCAATTCTCCTGCCTTACCCTCCTGAGTAGCTGGGACTACCGGTGCATGCCACCAAGCCCAGCTAATTTTTGTATTTTAGTAAAGATGAGGTTTCACCATGTTGGCCAGGCTGGTTTCAATCTCCTGACCTCAGGCGATCCACCCACCTCGGCCTCCCAAAGTGCTGGGATTACAGGCATGAGCCACCATGCCCGGCTTGACTATGACAAGTCTTGGTCTCCATTGTTTTAGGAGCTAAAGCCATTTAGCTGAAACCTTGCCAATTCCCTCACCTTGAAGGATGCCTTGCGTGATCAAGAGGTTTCGGCAGTAAGAGTAAGAACCACAAGCTGTTTGTTATGTGGTCAGGGTGTACCAGTCACTGGGCTCATGGTGGATCTGAGTTTCTACCCAGGCGTGTGGGGTTCCCCCAATCTATGCTGTTCCTTTCTAGAAGCTGAACAAAGAGCTTTGCTGAACCCATTTAGCAGCCTTCCCATTGGGCCCCAAGTTTCTGTTGTTTCAGTGATAAGCCTCCTAACTTGTTGAACTCTCCCTCAAACTCAATCATCTTAGGGACACAACCACCACACATCAGAAAACAAACCTTTTAATCCAGTCTTCAATAATCTGTGGTGACAAAAGAGTTTAGATGGGGTGGGCCCTTTTGGAGCTCTGCTATAAGTAAATTATAAACACCTCTCCAAACCCACATTAAAAATTGTTCTGGAAAAAGAAAGTTTGTAAAAGAAAACCAAATCTCTGCCCTGACACCAGATCAACTTCAAAGAAAATTCTAAGGTTATATTTCATTTTGTTTCTTCCTTCCACTTATGGTTGAATGATCTAATCTTATGCCCTTTCTTTAAATGTCGAAGTTGATACCACAGAGGCATCCCAATTTTGGGTATCAGGCAACATATAAAAAAAAGATGCATATTTTGGTGCTCTTTCAGTTGCATCCTTTGATCCCAAGGTTCTCTACCTTTTTATTCTATGTCCATTCCTCTCACCACCCCCTTCCCATTTCTTTTTACTCCAACATCCTCCTGGGTGGTCTGCTCAATTTAGACCAGATGCATGTTATGGTCAGTGGAAAAGTCAGAATCCCAGAGACGCCACCACCAGCTGTGGGACATCACACAAGTTCCTTAACCTCTCAGAAATTCAGGTTTAAAAAAAAAAAAATCAACAAAATGAGTTAAATATAGAGGTGAAAGCCCCTAGGAGAGTGTTTTGCAATGAGTAGGTGTCCCATAAGTGTTACATTGTTCGTATTTGAAGAACCCTTTCAGTCAGAGGAAACTTTCCTCCAATCATAGCTTTTCATAGTTCACCTTATTACACCAGGGACTTGTAAGTTTAGCGATGTGTGATGCTGTCTTAGCAAGGGCATTATAGGGGACTCACTCCTTCCTCAGTTGTGGGTGCTCCTCAGCCTCCACAGCACGGTTGCAACTGAAGTAGCCTTTCCTGGAAGAATTGGCTCTTTCAGCCATGGGATCCTTATAGAATTCTTGGGTTTGTATTGCAAACATCACTGGCCTGAGCAACCCTCTGAAAATTTTGAGAATTTTGTCCCAAGGCAGGAAACTTTGCAATAGAAACCTAAGCAACTCAGCACCCTGGCTTGCTTTTGAAAGTGCAGCTTTGCAATTTAATCAGGGCACAGGATTATTTGCCCCAATGATTCTCTATGGGACATCGTAATCACCTGGAGAGCTTGTTAAAACACCCCCCAGAAGTTCTAATCCAGGAGGCCTAGCGGGGAGCCTGGGAATTTGCATTTCTAACAAGCTCCCAGGTGGGGACTAATTCATTTGATCCTGGAACCACACTTTGAGAACCTCTAATTTAGTTCTTTAGTTCAAATGGGGAGGTTTTAGAGTCTTCTTAGCTATTTCTTTTCTATGGCACTTCATTATGTCACCTCCAAAATTTCCATTGTCAAGGAGTCTTATGAGTATGGTTTTCATTTCAGGGGGTGGGAACTGAGACAGAGAAGTCAGATGGGTTGCCTGCACCTCGGGCAGTCCCAGCCAGGCGCCTCCGCCTAGCCATCATGGGTGTTAGATTCATCCTGTGCTGCTCAATGACGTAAAACTGCTGCGCCCTCTGGCCCAGCAAGGTCATGTTAGCTTTCACCTCTGATACATACTTCCGCCTTCTCAAACTTACTAATAAAACTTTCAACAGTATCTTTGCAGGGCAAAAGCCTCTGGATTCCGGTGAGAGGTTGGACGTAGAAATCTTTTGATATATAAAATTTAGTCGAAATCCCACTTGGGCTAAAGATTCATTCCTTAAAAAAATTTTTTTTACTTGACCCAGTTCAGTGTGTGAAGCGTAGGTTTTCTGGAACATTCTTTTTGTTTACGCATTGCTTTATTTTTACTCTTTCCTGCCACGAACAATCCTCATCTCTGTCCCCGTGTCCTCCCTAGCCACTAACACACACGGTGTGGCCGGACCTGGGAAATGCGCCCCCCGGAGCACACCGCAGCCTCGCAGGCTCCCGAGCGGCGCGCGCGGGCCGAGGACCTCCAGGGCCCCTCGCGGGTCTACCGAGCGCCCCCGCGCCGCCCCTGCCCGCGCCCGGGACCGCCTCGTGGGCTTCTTTGTTAGGGCCGCCTGCGCCGAGAGGCGGTCTCGGGCCTGCCGGGGGCGCACGGGCCCCACTCCTGCCTTCTTAGCCGGAGTTCCCTAAGGACTTGTAAGCATATAGGCTCCAGTCCAGAGGCCAAATTAGGCCCCAGGGGACTTTTTCAATAAAATCCTAAATTTCATTTAGGCTGTTCGTATGCCAAGCGGTTGCAAGGACTCTGAGCCGAAGAAGCGGTGCCGGGCCTACCCGAGGCTCGCTCCTTCCCGCCCCCTCCCCGCGCCGGCTTTGTGCAGCTGGGCTCCTGGAAACCCGGTCCCTCCCGGGCTGTCGGCTCTGGGGTCTGGTGCCCGCCACCCTCCCGCCCCTCTGTGGTCGCCACTGCCCCCGAACCCCACTCCCAGCCCTTCCGTTTCCTTCCACGTCCCCTTCCCGTGCCCTCCCTCCCCCGCCTGAGTTCTCCCTCCCCTCTGGCTGGAAGAAAAGTCGGTAATAAGAAACCAGTTCAGTGTCAGTCGGAGGAGGGGGGAGATAATCCCAGAGATACACGGCAATGGAGTGAGAACTCATTTTGTGTAAAGAGGGCCTCGAGTCACCAGGGAATTCCTGGATTGTCTCAGGCTGTCGTGTGTGATGTCCATCACGCCGTGCGAACACCATCTGCTCGGTATTATGCTCTCAGTTGCCAGGCTACCTGCTGTACGCAGTAACACTTGACTGCCTGACTCCACGTTCGCAGCGCTCGCCCAGACGCGCGGGGCGGGGGCCGCGGAGGGGCGGGCGGGAGCCCTGATTAAGCCATCTGCGAGGGGAGGGGCGCGGGCGCGGCGGCGGCCGGGCGCGAGCCCGGGCTGACACCACCATCTGCTGGGGCGCGGGGAGAAGCGCAGCTGCTCCGCGTTCCCCCGGCGAGCGACGCCTGGAAAAGGCTGAAAAGCCCTGGGCGTCCTCGAGCCCGTGATTCACGGGGTCCCCGTCACCCCAGCCTCCTCGCCGCCGGCCGTCTTTTGTGATTCCCTGCTCTTTGGTTCGCCGCCAACAACGCCGGCCCCTCTCACCCAAACACTATGCACGTTCTTGAAAACACTTCAGAGGAATAAAGCTTCCCTACGCACAGATTTATAAATAAACAGCTGGCTGTTCCTGGGAGATATTTTTACCGTAGCTGTTTTTTGAAGTCGAAAACTGCCTGTTTGGGGGAGGTAAGGGCGCTCTTAACACCTCCTACCTCACTCTAGCCTTTAGAAAATTGCTAAGATCTTTTCCCTGGAGAAGATATGTAAAGTAGGTTCGTTGGTTTTGATTTCTTTCTCCTCCCTTTATTTTACTGAAGAGTGAGAGGGTTAGGCAAGTAATGAAGATCTATGTAGCCAGTTGGATTTTTGAGGGGGAGAAACTGTATTAAGATTCTTAGGAGAAGCAAGGGAGGTCGTTGGGCAAGGAGTGGATTGGAGAACAAGCCAGTAATTACAACTAAAAATACTGCATCATTTGGCTTCAAGGCATTACATTTCACATGACGAAAGCTCAGCCTGGTTTTCTCTAATTGCACAACGCAGTATGTGTCTTTCTTAGAAATGAGCAGTGGCTTGAAATCCTGAAATCTGACAGACTATTTCTCATTAAACCCTCTTAGACTGGAGGTTAAAGGAAGCCATGTAATAGGAAACAGCGGCCTCTGCCAGCTTAATGTGTTAGGCAAGTCACTGAGTACAACGTCTTCACACTTTGGAATATACATCAGAATCTGGGGCTGTAGGTGTCTCTCACCCACCGTTGAATGCGGCAGAGCTTGTTGGGAAAGTACTCAAGATGTTTCATAGGGAAGGCAGTCCTTTAAGAATGCACATAGTGCTGGGAGCAGTGGCTGCTGCCTGTCATCCCAACATTTTGGGAGGCCAAGGTGGGAGGACTCTTTGAGGCCAGGAGTTGAAGACCAGCCTGGGCAACATAGTAAGACCACCATCTCTACAATGAATTTAAAAATTGGCAGGGCATGGTGGCATACATCTGTAGTCCCACTTACTCAGGAGGCTGAGGCAGGAAGATTGCTTGAGGCCAGGGGTTGGAGGTTTCAGTGAGCTGAGATCATACCACTGCACTCCAGCCTGGGCAATGGAGTGAAACCCCGTCTCTAAAAAAATAATAATAAAATAATACATACAGCCCTTCCTGCCTGTAGGTCTTCAGTGAGAACCCTAAGACTAAACCTCTGTAAGGGAATTATTTGGGGAAACATAATCCTGGGAAGTGATAACATGACTATCCTTTTGGGAGGGTTTTTTTTTCACACTGTGCTTTTGAAGTATTTCTTTTTGGCCCAGGATGACAGGGGCAAAAAGTGGTTTGATGTATTATCGTCACCCCATTTGCCTCTCCCTTTCTTTTCCCAGTGGAGGGGAGGCTGGGAAAGCAACACTTCTTCACCCCTTACCACTTCTAGGCACACTCCCCAGCTGTGCCGGCTGGTTGCACAGGACAAGCGTATCTCAAAGTGCACAAAGATAAACAGGGCCCTCCCAGACCAGCCTTCTCAAAAAAATCAAGCTGAAGAAAATTTTATCTTCCCTTGGACCTCATTTTCTTTCCAACTCTCTCCACCTTATCAAAACTGGAAAGTATCAAATATACTGAGATAGAAAAAACAAACTGCATATCTGCATTTTTGCTGATTGGCTGTTTATATGTCAGTGTGAATTCATTTGTTAAAGTGTAAAGTCAATCAGCCATTTGTCCCTAAAGGTGGCAAGAAACAGATTTATTTCACTGGAAGGAAGGGCTTGGAAAATAGGTGGCAGATATTTAGGGGGAATAGGAAGACCCTGAATTATCCAGACCCCTGCAAGAGTTAGTCCTGAAGTAAACTTTTTGGTAGCACAAAGGTTCCTGGCATTGTTTAGCATAAGATCTTTTTATTAACATCAAAAATATTTCCTAGCTATGTTTGTGTATTTATAGAGAAAATACACAAAGACAAAACGTTTTATTAATTTCGGCTACAGCATTTATGTGTAAAAAATAGAATGCAGTACACTTATGAGAGACACACTGTATAGGTAGGTGTACAGGCTGTTCTTAGGTGCACACTTAACACCATGAAGACACTGCCTGGGAGAGGCCTGAGCTAGAAGAAAGAGGACTGAATTGATAATTAAAATTAGCATTCTACTTACTCATGTCACCAAATACCACCTGTACCCTGATAACTTACGGAAAATTTTTTTAATTTAAATTTTTTTAAAAAAGCAAAGAAAAGGTATCTGTTTTTGGGTTTGTTTGTTTTTTTTTTTTTTTAAGTTGCATTCCAGTTCTGCTAGTTCTGAGTCTTCCATTCACTAATTGTGCGACCTGGGCTACTGCACGAACAAACCAGAGCATCTTGGGCGATGGGTTCTAGGGTAAGAGGAGTAGCAGTTTGGTTTGGTTTGGTTTGGTTTTTGTTTGTTTTGCTTTTTTGTTTTGTTTGGAGGGAAGAAGAGCAACTGAAGATGCAGTTGAGGTCAGTCGTAGTAGAGAGGGAAGTCGGAATGGTTCTACACGCCACAGAAGGAAGGGAGGAACACAGCCCAGACCGAAGGGAATCAAATCCAGGACTGTCTCTCTGAGAGAGAGAGAGGGATACTTCACCTATTTGCTTTGAGAAAAAACTGCCAGCATGTTTAACAGTATCTGCATTGGAAAGGCAATAAAGTAAAAAGAAGAAAAATATTAAAATCCAGATGGAGTCTTGCTCTGTTGCCCAGGGTGGAGTGCAGCGGCGTGATCTCAGCTCACCGCAAATCTCCACCTCCCAGGTTCAAGCAATTCTCTCGGCCTCCCAAAGTGCTGGGATTACAGGCATGAGCCACCACCCCCGGCTGGATTTAAAAAATTTTTAATGATAGAGTTATTCGCATTTGCTTCTTACTATTTAAGGTATCATAGTAATGCTTCCCAAAATGACTGTGAATGTCCTTATATGTGTGCCCATTTAATCTGCGTCAACTCCGCTATGTTCACATTAATTACTTGAAACTTTAATGAGGTAGAGGAATTTCTGCAGAATGTTCAGACAATACTTGCCACTGCTAGGTAGGCTTGGTAGAACAAATAGGAAAGGAAGTGTCTAGAAATTGAATCTTTGGGCCACATACCTTTTCTTCCCATTCGCTGTTTTTCCCTAGTAGTCTATACTGTCCAGCTCAGAGCACAAACTTAGCCTCTGAGCACATTCTCCACGTAGTCACCTGGGCGGTATGGAATTAGGTCTTTACTTAATTTACTTGGCCTCCTCTTCCCTAAGGACTAGTCCTTAAAAGTTGCCATCATTTGACTGGCTGACATATAATTATAGAATCAAGAGACCCAATCCAACACCCCACGTTTAAATTATCCCAGACAGAGGAGACTCCATGCTATTTTTAAAGACATTAGGAGATTACATAGCTTTGGTCAGTGTAAAACATTCCCAGTTCTCACCATCAGCAACTCTGGCCAGCAGGATTTTTCTTTTTGACATATATCAAATCTCTCAAATGTTGCAACTTGTTAGAATTCCATCAAGTATCAGACCTGTTGATTAACAAATTCCTGCAGTTTTCTGTAAATGTCCCTCCTACTTGCGAAGAAGATGTCTATTTTTGGCCAAGAAGACATAAGAAATAAGGATTAAAAGGTGAGGTCAGGGTGTCTCTCGTGTTCCAGGCTTTAGGTGAGCTCAACCTGAGGGCTCATTCCCTTTCCTTTGAGGAACACAGGATGTTAGTTGAAAATCCAGTCCATATGCAATAATGAGTCCCATCTGAAACAGACCGGACTTGGCCTTGGATTTCCCAGAGCCATGCTCTCTTACTGTCCATTGTGGCCTTTCTAATTCTACTCAGGTAAGGTCGAATTTGAGGCTACTTTTACAGAAATGCAATGTGTGTCACTCACACACACAAGCTGGGATTCCTGCCCTTTTCCCATGGGCTTCCCTTCAAATGGCAATGAGTCTCCATGGGGAATCCCTGAATCTGTCTCTCTCTTGTCCTCTCAGGAGCAGCATCCAGTTGGACTTCCCCGAACCACAGGCCCGATGCAGTCCTCTGTGCCCCCAGGCTCAGGTGGCATGGTCTCAGGAGCCAGTCCTGCAGGCCCCAGCTTCCTGGGCAGCCAGCCACAAGCAGCCATCATGAAGCAGATGCTCATTGATCAGCGGGCCCAGTTGATGGAGCAACAGAAGCAACAGTTCCTGCGGGAGCAAAGGCAGCAGCAGCAGCAGCAGATTTTGGCGGAACAGGTAACATGCCCCTTGGCATGATTCATTCATTCAGCAAGCACTTATTCAGCACCTGCTGGCTGTGAGGAAGTCACAGTTCATATCCGTCAAGATGCTCACAGTCTAGCATTTCCCGGGGTCACAGGAGAACCTGAAGAATTTAGACCTTTCAGTTAGTTAGGCTTTTTCCTGTAATGAATTAATTTGTTCTTAAAAGACAGGCTTCAGTCAGCAGTTTGAAGGCCTGTGTGCCAGAGACATTTCTTTGATTCAAGTCTGACTCCTTTTCTTCTGATTTCTGGTGCAGGGTCTGTGTAATCAGCACATGGCTGGAGCTGTCTCACATGCTCCATAAGCCCTAATATTTCTAGCATGAAGAAAAAAATAATAATTCAGAGAACTCTCTTTCTTAGAGGAATTACAGGAGGAGAGATTGAGGAGAATTCTATAGAATGGGTCATGAACAATGGATTGGGAACAATAGCAGAACAATAAGGCCTGCAGAACTACCTGGAAGCCTGAACTCTGGGTCACAGACAGGGTGCAAACTTAGGAAAATTCCCCACAGCTTTTGAAACAGCTCAGGAAATCTGTGAGTTAAAGGAAAGCCTAACACAAATACAGCTTTACCTTAGGCATCTTTGTCCATCCTCGCCCTATAATTCCTCAGCTTTGAGAGAAAGCCTTCCCTGCAGACTGCTCCTGTAGGTTTCAATTTGTTTTGTTTTTAGAGATGCCCATACCTGACTTAGCATTATCCCAGGGAAAGGCCTGAGGCTGTCCACGAGAGAGCCCCAGGTGGCTTCTGTGGGGGTCTGCACAGGGAATCTCGTCCAACAGGCTCTTTCTTACAGGAGGTGTGAGGGTTGTCATATAAAACTGAAGGCCCAGCATAGGTCTGCCTCACAGTTATCCTTCTAAAATGTTCCTGATAGGGTCAGAATTTTGTAAATTTTTTCTCAAAGAAATAGAGACAGGGTCTCACTATGTTGACCAGGCTGGTCTCAAACTCGTGGCCTCAAGCGATCCTCCCCTCTCAGCCTCCCAATGTGCTAGGATTACAGGCGTGATCCACCACGCCCCACCAGATTTTTGCACATTTACCAAGCATCTGCCACCACATATATACAAGATCCTGTTTAGGACACAGGCCCATTGAGGTTCCTACTAACCAAGAACAGCAGTTCAAAGTAACGCCAGGCATCCCCCAAAGAAAAAAATTGTACGGCTGAGAACAGTTCACTTATGTTCCCTTTTTTTTTTTTTTTTTTTTTTTTTTTTTCCTGAACAGCTGCGTAATTATCTCCCTTTTTACCAAGGTCAGTCAGCCTCCTGGCAGCTATTGTACAAACAAACCTCCATCCCTCTCACCTACATAAGGTGTGTGACAGGGAGCTATGCTAATCTCTCTCAGGCAGTGATAAATGGAGCTGCCAAGGGCAGCCGGGCTCTGTAAATCCTCTCCTCAGCCAATCCCAGGAAATTTCAGGTGTGCCTGATGTTTTGAGTGATGGCTTTTGATATGTGTGTTGTGACCAAAGACACAAAGAAGGTCCAGGGCAAGCAGGCAGAGCTCAGCTGTGCAGCCCAGGGGTGTTCCCACATGGCGAAGCCGGCCCGACCCTGGGGAGCACAGGGCATGCGAAGAGTGTGAGAAGAGACACATCAAGACAATGCTCCCAGACAAGGAGGTGAGAGGTCAGGGGAGACCCCTCAAGATCCAGGGCACAGAGAGCAGGAGTGCCTTGGGAAAGACAAGGGAAATGGGAAGCTGCAACCTGCAGATAATTCCATAGCAACTGTGTGTACTAAAACACGGTGAGGGATGAGGGGAGAATCACTTTCCTCAGGGTCAGGATTAGTCCGTTCTTTTGCTTTTGATGTGATTTTGGAAAAACCACGGAACCTCCCTCTTCATCTGCCAAATTAGGTTTTAATAGTTTCCCAGCCTTCCTCATGTGGCCGCTTTAAGGATCACATAAGATCATGTGTGTAAAATATTTTGGAAGCTATATGTGCTGCACACATGTATGTGGGGACCTATCATATGACCCTGGTGTCAGGGAATCTCAGGTGGGAGCTGCAGCTACATGGCCCAGCCTGGTCATTGGAGCATCTTGCCTGCACCTGGGGAGGTTGCAGATTTAGTGCAGGTTGTCTGAGTGCAGGTCTACAAGGAGTAAGTGCTCAACTTTTTTTTTTTTCTGAGACAGAGTCTTGCTCTGTTACCCAGGCTGCAGTGCAGTGGCGTGATCTCGGCCCACTGCAACCTCTGCCTCACGAGCTCAAGCGATCCTCCCACCTCAGCCTACAGAGTAGCTGGGACCACAGGGAAACACCACCACACCTGGCTAAGTTTTGTATTTTTAGTGGAGATGGGGTTTCGCCATGTTAGGCAGGCTGGTCTCGAACTCCTGGGCTCAAGCAATCTGTCCCCCTCGGCCTTCCAAAGTGGTGAGGTTGAAGGTGTGAGCCACTGCACCCAGCCAGCTCTCAACTTTTTGTGTGAGAGTGAAATTGCCAAATCAACACCAGTCTTGGTTGCTGCAGCATTGAAAGTGTCCTCACACTTTGGATTTTGGAAATAGATTTTGGGTTTCCTGAAAGGTAATGTCAGAGAAAACAGAAGGATTTGGGATCTTGCATATTTTGGGGAACTTTAAAATGATTCTCAGTAGACTTGGAAATCAGAGCAGAGCAGGTTGAAAGTAGGTATGAATTCATATTTAATGCCTATTCTCAAAAAGTGCAAAGCACATCACCTCTCATCCATTCACAAAGGTTAGACAGAACTTAGAAATGTTCTAGATCATGAAGTCCCATCATTTTACAAATTAGGATCTGAGGTTATGTGAGGAACCTGAGCTTATGTGATTTATGTGAGATCACAGAGCTACAGAGAGACAGAGCCAGGACAGAACTGGGAACTCCTGATTCCTGACTCCGGGATATACCCTCAGTCCCCCACAGGCTGCAGGGGGCTCATTCCTTGTCGTAAGTGGGACAGTTAAGTTCTTAGATAATAGGAATTTTGACTGGGAGAAGCTGTTCAATGTTCAGCCAACTCTCAAAAATGCCCTTATATTGCTGCCTAAAAGATTTGCGTGATTTCTTGTCTATACTTTAATGGTCTACACAATCAATTAATTTCAACAGTTTTCTGCAGAACGTTATGGTAGGCACCACGGATGGAGTCAACAAGTCAGAGGCTGATGTTTTCTTTGGTTGCCAGAACACTGGCTGGCCTTGTAGAGAAAGAGAAAAAGAAAAGAAAATTATAGAGCAGTGCAGGAACAAACACAAGAGAAAAACGGAAATAAACACATGTGTTAAGAGGTGGTCAGTGTGTGTTATTTTTATAATGAACACTCTAAAGAATGGGGACCTTGGTATATGTTCTTTATAGCCCTTGCAGATGAAAGGTACTTAATGAATATTCAGCAGCTGCAGGGAGCAGGTTAAACAACATACAGAAGGTCACTCAAGCTACTTGACGGCAGACCTAGGACTAAAACCTCTTTCTCTGCTCTTTCTACATCACTCTTATTTTCTTTCCCTTTGCACATATAGCATGATAATAATAGCCTTCCCAGTATATTGGAAACAACACTAGCAGTGCAGCATCCCCGTGAGTGGAAGAAGAAAGACTAAAACACAGGCCTCCTGGCTCGCTGGTATATGTGGAATCCCACATGGCTTCCTCAAAGCAGTAAATGCTGAATAGTTTACTTGTAGAGATGTATTTTATAGGCATTGTGAATTCATGGGAATAAGATGAGCCTTTTCTGTATAGCCCCGAGGATCTCATCTTCTTATGCCCAAAGCATCCATTTAGGTCATTAAAAAGCATTTGCTTGTCCCTTTGAGCTCAGTCCCCACAGTGCTAAGGAAAGATGCAGGCTGGTGTTAAGCAGTCCATGACAAAACCCTTACCCTCAGCACGCATTCCTCATGACCCAGCAAGTCCACACATCAGAAATACATGCAGATGTTCACCCAAAGGTACAGGAATTTTCATAGCAGTCACATTTGAAACACAAAAACTAGAAACACCAAAAGTAACATCACTAGTAGAATGGGTAAATCAAGTATGGTATATTCATATGATGGAATGCTATCCAACAGTGAGAATGACCAAGCAACAAGTATTCACATCAACATGGATAAATCTCACAAATACAGTGGTGAATGCAAGAAACCAGACACAAAAGCAGCATTGTATGACTCCTTTTCTGCAAAGTACAAAAGCAGACATAACTACCGTATGTTGTTAAAAGTTAGGACATTGACGCCCATGGTTCAAGGGAGGGTGATGACTGGAAGGGCCATGAGGGGCTCCTGGCTATGTTCTGTTTCTTGATGTGGGGGCTGGTGGCCCTGAGTGTGTTCGTTTTATGAAAACCTACCTGATCCTATCCTTAGGCTTTGTGCACTTGCCTGTATGCAGATTATTCTTTAACACAAAGTTTAGTTTTGGGGAAAACCCTGTCTTCCTCAGAACTGCTAGGATATTAAATTGTGTGCTCATTCCCCATCTCACCTCCCCACCCCTCTTGTGTTCTGTCGTTCTAGCAGTTGCAGCAATCACATCTACCCCGGCAGCACCTCCAGCAACAGCGGAATCCATACCCAGTGCAGCAGGTCAATCAGTTTCAAGGTGAGGCCAGCGCAACCTCTCATTTTATACCTTCTGGTTGTGAAGAGCAAGTGAATGTGTAGCCAGTGGCATTGCCTTACATGCAGTGTTTGTGTCCAGGAAATACTTAAAATATTTAACTACTGGTAGGTTAAGAGTACTAACCAATCAGATTGGATTCCTAGATGCCTCCTGTTGTGCCAGGCATTCACCTTTTGGTGACTGAGTCACAGAGAGGTTCTAGGAGGCCCAGAGAAGGGTCAGGGTAGCTGTGGGAGTTGGGATGAACAGCAGTTCTTCACCAAAGGTACACAGTATTTCAATAGTTTTACAACCAGTAAGGATATTCTGGTGCCTGTTGGCTCAGTATCAGTTGTGTTTACGTTTAGATCATCATCTTAGTGACTACAGGGACAAAAATCTTGTGCCACATATTTTTTGGTTATCCCAGCAGGTCACCTGACCAAAGCCCTTACCTGTAAAGCAGAAGTGGAAGAATCTGGCTTGCAATAACCACTAGTCTCTGCTGAATATAGAAGACAAATAGGGCCTCAAGGCTGAACTGATCCTGCAGTCATTTGTGCAAATCCCAAATCATGACCCAGCAGTGGGTGCACTGTGTGTCAGTGTTGGCACTCCTTTATAAATGCAGAAGGGCCACTTGAATATCAAACCCTTCCGTCTCCAATAGAGAGAACAGTTGGCCAGGCACGGCGGCTCACGCCTATAATCCCAGCACTTTGGGAGGCCGAGATGGGCCAATCACATGAAGCCAGGAGTTCAAGACCAGCCTGGCCAACATAGCAAAACCCCGCCTCTATTAAAAATGCAAAAAATTAGCTGGGCATGGTGGCGCGTGCCTGTAATCCCAGCTACTCAGGAGGCTGAGGCAGGAGAATTGCCTGAACCCAGGAGGCGGAGGTTGTAGTGAGCCGAGACCGCACCATTGCACTCCAGCCTAGGTAACAAAAGCGAAACTCTGTCTCAGAAAAAAAAAAAAATGCAAAAAATTAGCCAGGAATGGTGGTGCATACCTATAATCCCAGCTACTCAGGGAGGCTGAGGCACAAGAATGGCTTGAACCTGAGAGGCAGAGGTTGCAGTGAGCCAAGATTGCACCACCGCACTCCAGCCTGGGTGACAGAGCAAGACTCTATCACCAAAAAAAAAAAAAAAAAAGAGAGAGAGAGAGAGCCCTTGAGGGTCTTATATGGAATGAAGAAATAGCCTGAGGAGCCTTCCTAATCTTATCCACAGGAGTTTTCAGGGGGCTTCAGGGGCCACTGAGCACCAGAAATCCTAATCCCATCCTCTGCCCATTTTGTGGGATCTAGATCAATGTGTCCTAACTTCTCAAAAGTTACCTATTCCATTAAGAATCTGTAAAAATCTATGAAGTTTCTTGCACAGAAATATATAATATGTAAATATATATACAAACTTTTACATAATTTCACAAGTATCCCTGAACTTTATCAATAGACTGGATGAAAAATTTCTGATCTAAGGTAGCATTTTTTCAGTCTTCAGACTGCAATACACAAGGTTATTGAAAACAACTTAATGGGTCACAGCCAACATTTTAAAAATTAAATACAACAGAAATTACCCAGTGCATATGGGAAAATTTTTTTCTGTTTTAAACCTACCTGTATATATTCTGGGTCATGAACTGTGAGTTGTGGTTTACTGTCTGAAAGCCATTGATATTTGCTGACAGATCACACTGAAGATCACCTGTGAAAATACTGGGGCTTGAGTAGCTACCACTCCCTTCCACCCCTCGGATGCTTATATCACATTAGATCCCATTTGGTCTTGACACAGGGAAGTACAAAAGGACTGAGTTATCCACAGGTGTTCTGTGCACTAAATCAGTGCCAGTCGTTTTTGAAGAATTCTGTTTCTCATTTTGCCGTGGGTAGGGAACAGTGGGGACTAGTCATCATTACGTATAGCTGTTGTTTCAGATACAAAGCCCTCCTTTATATCTGTAGTTCTCAAACTTTAGCTTGTACTGGAAGCAGCAACAGAGCGTGTTAAAACACACACAGTGTTTCCGATTCAGTAAATCTGGAGCAGGGCCTGAGAATCTGCATTTCTTACAAGTTCCCAGGAGTCACTGATTTTGCTAGCTAGGGAACCACACTTGAGAGCTGCTGCATTATATTATGAACTAATTAAAAACATAAAAGCTGATGAATGCAGCATAATGTCCCTTGAGTTTTCCAGGCTCATAACTCATGCATTATTTGTGAGGGAAAAGGGGCCCACCATAATTTAATCATTCCCCTGTGTAAAAGAACATAGACACATATTTATATGAGCTATTCCAAATGTTTTGGGTCCAATTAAAAAGTTCTATTTCTTGAACTTTTCTGAAACCCAAACCAGAGGTAATCAACCTAGAAATTTAGTTACACATGGAAATTTAGTTACAGCCAGTGTGACATTTGGGATCCTTGAACTGACTGGTTTGAGATATGTAATAATTTTTTTTTGCTATCTTCAGTATTTTCATGTATTTGTCAACACCCTACATAGCATGATTTTATGGATCTGGGAAAACAGCAAACTGATAAATAAGAATCATCGTTCTCGGAGAGAAGTTTTGTTAGGTATAACTTGCATGAGAGCCTATCTCATACTCTCACCATTATACATTTCAAAGGCCTTAATGACTGTCTTTCCCTCATTAGGTTCTGGATCTCTGGGCAATGTTATATGTCTATGGGGAAATGCTTATTTTTTTCACAAATACAGGCTTCTTGTGAGTGAAAATAGAACATACACTCTTTTAGGAAAAAGTTGGATACTGTCATCTCTATTTGAATATATAAGATTTTCTTAGACATTGTGATGTTAACCAGCCGACAAGAAAATTAGACTACAGTGTCTCACAATCATGTCTGTTTTAGGCCCAAAAAAAGAGAAAGAAAACATAATCTGTTGCTTAACATATGTAATAATCAGGTAAAGACAAGTTAATTCCTTGGACACATCTGAATTTTTTTCCTTTGTATATTTAAAATCACTAAAGGCATAAAACTAGATTAATAAAAGGTTTTTTATTTCTCTTAGGTGAAAAATAATGTGCTGATTGCTGATTTTAAAATGCTTTTTTAAAAACAAGAATTACAGCCAGGTGCAGTGGCTCACGCCTGTAATCCCAGCACTTTGGGAGGCCGAGGTGGGCAGATCATGAGGTCAGGAGTTGGAGACCAGCCTGGCCAAGATGGTGACACCCCGTCTCTACTAAAAATATAAAAATTAGCCGGGCGTGATAGTGGATGCCTGTAATCTCAGCTACTTGGGAGGCTGAAGCAGAGAATTGCTTGAACTCGGGAGGCAGAGGTTGCAGTGAGCCAAGATCACACCACTGCACTGCAGCCTGGGCAACAAAGCAAGACTGTGTCAAAAGAAAAAAAAGAAAGAAACAGAATTACATCAAGATAGTGCAGTCATTTACACTAACTAAAAATAAAGGTTGGCTTGGATTAATGTTTCACCGCCTATTAAAGGGCAAGGGCATTGTAACATTTCTGCCCTCTAAAGAAAGGAAACTATTTCTCATTCACAACATTAGTCCAGACAGTATCCAGTTCTTTAACATATCCATTATAAATATACGCCCCAAAATGGCCAAATTATGGATGTCCTTTCATCTATTTCTAGCAGCACATCAGATTGTTTATATAATTTGGGTCTATCCAATAAATCTCTGAGTCAGCAATATTTTTCTCTTAAATTTTTTTAATAAACAACTCAATAACCCATTTCACCACAGTTGATCTTATTGGCCATGCAGCCGATAAAAATTTAGTCATTAAGGTCACAAAACTTCATGACAAGATTACAAGTTGCAGTATATACTACCTTCCAATGTTTCACTAGGAACTTTTGATTTTTCAAAAAATCACTTAGATATAAAGAAGATTAAAACAAAATATGAAAACATTTCTAGTGATTTCCCCCAGATCTTTCAGATTTCCTGACAGAAACCATTTCATTTTTCAATGCAGCATGATATTGATCTCAATCCACAAAAACTTGATATAATCAAAATTCCCTTAATTTTCTTTCTTAAAGAAAGGAAGAAAATATGGAGACATATTTGAAGCCCAGAAATCAATAACTCCATCAGGAAGACAAAAACATGCTTCAGTTATCTGCCAGGGTGCCAGGTTTAGCAAGGTTAGACTATTCTCATCTGGTTTCTCATCATAGTTCCAGGTGGGATCAAATTTGTTTAGAATATTGACTGGCTCCCATGCTGCATCTTCTTTAAATGTCCAGGAAAAAACCATTTTTCTTCTTCTCATAGACTCAATCATTAGCAGGGACATAGAAAAATCCATTTTTGTGCACCTCCTAGCCCTTTGCAACATTGACTGGTGTTTTACCGGTGACATTTCCATTCTCTTGACTGTTTGGAAATTTCCTGGGAACACGTAAAGAAGGACTCACTCAAATGCCTAATTAAGGTTGAATGACTTGGTGTGGACACTGGCCACCTTTTAAACAGCATTATTAAAAGTGTGTTAGCAATTTGCTGAAATGGTCGTTGCCAATTTGAAGGAATGGACTTCGCTATAGAAATGCATAAAGTTCAGGAGGCTGAGACAGGAGAATTGCTTGAACCCAGGAGATGGAAAAAAAAAAAAACAAAAAGAAATGCATAAAGTTCATGGCCAAGTCGTGTGTAGCAGGATGATCTCTTTTTCTAGCTCAGGAAGCTGGCCAGTTTGCAATGACATGTTATGATTCAGAGAGTCTGGAGCGTGTTGAAATCTACAGAGTGGATCCAAAAAATGTCCTATCTGTCAAAATAGCTGCTTAGCAGAAGCAGTGGCCTTTAACCTCTCAAATCCTACTCAAGTCTTAAGGAAAATTAGTCTAATGGTCTTCATTGATAGTGTTCTCTACCAAACCATGTTCCACTTAATGAATAGAAAATGCAAAGTGACCAGCCATTTCTTTCTAATTTAGCCCCAGAGGTGAATTATCTCTCACCTCCAAAGAAAATAGTATTTTATTTGGTTGAGGATGATATTGTATCTATAAGAGTGAGAAATAATTTGCTTCTGGAGTATACACAAGAATAGCATCAGGATCTGTTAAGTGGAAAAGTCAGCTACAAAAACATATGTACAGTATGATCCCAATTTTTATGGGTGTCTATTTAAAAGAATAGGAATGATCATCTCTTGATAGTGGGATTTCAGGTGACTTTAATTTTTGTCTGTGTTTTTTAATACTTTCAAATTTTTTACAATCAGCCTTGTTATAATCAGAAAAATAATCATTTTTATTAGAGATTTATTTTATCGGAGTAGATCCTTTCATATAAAGGAATTTTGTCATTCCCAAAGGAAATTCCAGCATCTTCTTGTAGTATATTGCTCATGGAAAAAGATATTCCAACAGTATATTGCTTATGGAGAAGAGTGAGTGGGGTGTGTCCTCTTTTTCACTGCAGGTTCTCCCCAGGATATAGCAGCTGTAAGAAGCCAAGCCGCCCTCCAGAGCATGAGAACATCACGGCTGATGGCACAGAATGCGGGCATGATGGGAATAGGACCCTCCCAGAACCCGGGGACAATGGCCACTGCAGCCGCGCAGTCGGAGATGGGACTGGCCCCTTATAGCACCACGCCTACCAGCCAACCAGGAATGTACAATATGAGCACAGGCATGACCCAAATGTTGCAGCACCCAAACCAAAGTGGCATGAGCATCACACATAACCAAGCCCAGGGACCCAGGCAGCCTGCCTCTGGGCAGGGGGTTGGAATGGTGAGTGGCTTTGGTCAGAGCATGCTAGTGAACTCAGCCATTACCCAGCAACATCCACAGATGAAAGGGCCAGTAGGCCAGGCCTTGCCTCGGCCCCAAGCCCCTTCAAGGCTGCAGAGCCTTATGGGAACAGTCCAGCAAGGAGCACAAAGCTGGCAACAGAGGAGCTTGCAGGGCATGCCTGGGAGGACTAGTGGAGAATTGGGACCATTCAACAATGGCGCCAGCTACCCTCTTCAAGCTGGGCAGCCGAGACTGACCAAGCAGCACTTCCCACAGGGACTGAGCCAGTCAGTCGTGGATACTAACACAGGCACAGTGAGGACCCTCAACCCAGCTGCCATGGGTCGGCAGATGATGCCATCGCTCCCGGGGCAGCAAGGCACCAGCCAGGTGAGGCCAATGGTCATGTCTGGCCTGAGCCAGGGAGTCCCGGGCATACCAGCATTCAGCCAGCCCCCAGCACAGCAGCAGATACCCAGTGGCAGCTTTGCTCCAAGCAGCCAGAGCCAAGCCTATGAGCGGAATGCCCCTCAGGACGTGTCATACAATTACAGCAGCGATGGAGCTGGGGCTTCCTTCCCTGGCCTCCCGGACGGTGCAGACCTTGTGGACTCCATCATCAAAGGCGGGCCAGGGGATGAGTGGATGCAGGAGCTTGATGAATTATTTGGCAACCCCTAGTCAAGAGAGACCCCAAGAGCCACAACTTGAGTGGTTAAAGCTTAAAAAGTAAGAAAGAAACAGGATGTTGACCCATCCTTGTTTTTCGTTTTTTTGACCCACGTAAACTGAGCAAAACTGCAGCTGGCTGACAGTGGAAGATCCAGGTGCCAATCCACAGCTCCACCGAGCCTCGTTTCACCTGATTTTCACACGGCAATCCAGATGAGACGCCACGCAGATCTCTGCTGCCGGAGAGGGAGACACCCAGAGGAGCAGGTGGGAAGATAAAGCCGGCCAGAGCCCCTCTGCTCAGAGCACCCTGTGATCGCCCAACAGGAGCTGCTTCAGCCGAGAGGGACTGTTACCCAAGAGAGGGATCCTCAACCCCTCCTGCCCCAGGTCGGGAGACAGCAGCTTTGGAGACACAAAAGAGACAGAGCCTCGGCCAGGGAGAGTCCCACAGAGGAGGCTGGGTGGTTGCACAGGCCAAGTGCGCAGGTTGGAAATGCACTGAACGCTGGGTGCCAGGAGATATCAGGCTTCGAGACATGCTACTGAATTCGGAGGGCAGGCATGAAGAACAGTGAGATGGTCACAGGGAGGCAACAACGGATCCTGCAGGCCTGTCTGTCTCATGCCCCGTGGTGACCCTCAGGAATTGCAGAGGCTCTGCTGTGACAAGGAGAGCAAGCTGAGTTTGGAGCAGGGTCCATCCGACTGTCCTTGGGGTGGCTGCCTCTGCTGGTGCCCCTGGTGGCAGTCCCTCCAGGTTGGGCTGGAGCCCACTGGGGCCTGATACAAGACCCATACATCCAGTGGGTCACTTCTCCTTCTGGTGGCCGCAGGGTAGAGAAACCCCTGCTGGACCCCTGTGTGTCTGCCAGCCTGGAGCCTTTGTCTGCAGCCCTGCCTTTATTCCTCCTTGCCTCCACACCAGCCTCCCCTTGCTTCTCCTTACAGACTATTCAAGAAGTGTAGCTTGTATCTTCAGGGAGTCTTGAGCAGAGTCCACATAAATGCGGGAAGAACTTAGACAATACCTGAAATGCAAAGGCAACACTGGAGTCTTCTTCCTCTCCTGTGTGTAGAGTTGAATTAATATCTGCCTGGAACCGAGAGGGCTGCTCTGATGTTTGGGCATCAGTTTTTGTGAGCCACATCTGTTATTTCTGAAACCCCAGGAAGGAGTGGCCTGGAGGTCACTGGTTCGGGCTCCCTTTGGGAGAACTCCCAGGAGTGATGCTCTAAAATCCACCTTTTCCATCATCCCTAGTCATCAGAAAGACAAATATAAAATCCCCGAGAGGTGGAGGAGCTAAAAGAGCAATTGTTTCACCTTATTTGGATGTAGTTTCTTTCATATGGGCAAAGTGATCCACTTCCAAAGTCCTGTACAGTCGTTCTCTTTGTCATTGATGCGCAACTGCCCTAAGTGAAATCTGTCGGAAGGAATCACAGGGCTCCTTGCCTCCCCTCCCAATCCCCCCTTTGGGAGGCCCTGTGGCTTCAGTGTTGTCCTAAGTGAGAGTGGCATGTGCTTTTCTCCTGTCCCCTCCTCCCTCCATGTCCTGGACGCTGGCTGCCTTCTGTGCACTCCCAGGCAGCTCACCACGAAAGAGTCGGAGCCTGTGGGGCTGGACTGGCCACATCCAGTCCTGAGAAGGCAAGTTTCCGTGGAAAGCTGGGAGCAGAGGGGTTTGGAGAGGAGGTGGTGGGCAAGCATTGTCTTTGACTTGTTCTCCGTGTACCCGGGGTTGTAGATCTGCTCAGCAAAGGGCAGGATGTACGACCAGAGGTGCCTGGTGGCTGAGAAGCCCAGGCAGGGGCTGGGTGCCCTCTCCAAAGAGGTGGCAGCAGGGTGACCCTGAACTCCCCAAATGGGGAGCGATGCCACTGGGGAAACTGAGTGGAAACAGATGAAACCAAAAAAAAAAAAATGTAAACAAATGAAAAGACACAGAAAACAAAATTACCTTTTCCTGAAAGGTACAGGAAACAAATATATAAGCAATGATGAGAAACTGGAGGTGGCTAATGGAAGTGGGACGGGGGTGGGCTCCATTATCTTGTAAAAGCTTCCTCCAAATGCGCAGTACTGGGACCAACTAATAGAGAGGTAGATTTTAATAAGGTGGTTTTGTTTTGGTTTTGTTTTTACTACGGTGCTGATGTATATGTAATGTCTAAAAAAAGTTATTTGTACATAAGTTTTTACAATACTGCAGATATCACTGGGTCTACTATCTGTAAAAAATATACATATAAATATATATATACTGTTTGTTTAAAATAGAGTATTTTTATTTCATTCCTTAACTCATCATCACAGCAGTGGTATTGCACTTCAGATGACATCTAATTACTAATTTGTACTGTATGACCTATGGCAACTTGCTCCATTTTATTCAGATTTTTCTAGCTTTCTGTTTTTACTTTGTACATTGAGCATTGCTTATTTCCTTTTAAGAAATGTACAGAACTCTGAAATGTAGAAATGAAGTGATGTTGACATACCACTTTTAAAGAAAACAAAAATGAAAATAAAAGATTATCTGAATCAATCCGAAGTATAGTTTATTTTAAGATCCTCACTGGATGGCCAATCTTAATTAAGCAGACATATTATTCCTGGGTTTTAATTGATTAACTGCAGCTCTTTTCTCAAATTTTTAATATCATTCTTTAAACATTTATTTAATGGAAGAGATTAATCATCCCCAGCCTTTGCATTCAACTGCACAACTGATACTTTCTAAATTTGCTGCCTTACTCTGAAGGATGTGGCAAAGGGAAGGGAGGAAAGTCAACTTTGCATGGAACATAGTGCAATCCATTTGTAGATTCAGTACCGTAACAATTCCATTTCCAACTGGTTCATCTGGAGGAAGGGAGGCTCCACTGGAAAAATAAATATTTTGTCAAAAAAAGAAAAATCAGAATATATTGAGGGGAAGTAATAAAAGGTTCTTGGGGAGCACTGTCAGTAAACAACCCCCACACACCTGTGTGTACCTCACTCCTACCAAGCCACTTTACATCTCAAAGCCATGGCCTGGCTTCACCTGCACCCACCCGCAGAATTGAAAGTGCTTACAAGCTTGTACCCCTCCAGATTGACTTTAGCCAGTGACTCACTGGTGCAGGAGTATGAAAGCCCAATTAACTTGTCTGAACAAACTCAGATATCATTTTGCTCCAGAGCTCTACTGTAAGATCAGGCAAAGGCTGGGACTTGGTTTAAAGGTGCCCGCCAGGCTGGGCACTGTGGCTCACACCTGTAATCCCACCCAGCACTTTGGGAGGGCAAGACAGCGGATCACAGGAGTTTTGTCAGAGGTGGATAAACCACAGCAACTCTAACTTAAATAGAAGCTGGGTAAAATAAGACCGAAACCCAGATGGTGTAGGCATTCTAAGTCATGGGATGAGAGAAGAGTTCAGTACAAAATACAGATCATAAAGATCTTGCTGATAAAACAGTTTGCTGCAAAGGAGCCAGCCAAAGCCCACAAAAACCAAAATGACAATGAGAGTGACCTCTGGTTGTTCTCACTGCGACACTCCCACCGGCGCCGACAGCTTACAAATGCCATGGCAACGTCAGGAAGTTAACTGTGTGATCTAAAAAGGAGAGGCATGAATAATCCACCCCTCATTTAGCATATCATCAAGAAATAACCATAAATATAGGCAACCAGCAGCCCTCAGGGCTGCTCTATGCAGTAGCCATTCTTTTATTCCTTTACTTTCTTAATAAACTTGCTTTCACTTTGCCCTGTGGACTCGCCCTGAATTCTTTCTTGCCCAAGAGCCAAGAACCCTCTGTTGGGGTCTGGATGGGGACCCCTTTCCTGTAACATATTTCTGGCTACCACAGAAGGAACAATCACGCAGAAACCCTGACCCAGCAGCTACCTTTGGGTAAGTATTGGAGTCTTCTAACATATTTCTGGCGAACGATGGGACAATACTGGAGATTCCCCCTCCAACCGAAAGGAAATAGACTGCAGCACTGACTGGAAGACTTTGGGTAAGTGGTGGGGTACCCAGGTAAAGAATGGGGTTGGGTTAGAGGCCCAACTAAGTGGAGTTAGAGTCTCTCCTAAGACAGAATGGGTTAAAGGCCCCTCTTAATAAAAGGCAAGGGCGCTTGACCGACCTCGGGTTAGAAGCCCAACTTAGGAGAGTTAGGGTCCCTTCTAAGATTTAGTGGGTTAGAGGCCCCTCTGGGGAAAGCCCCTCTAGGCTAAGAACAGGTTCGGCACTATGGGATGTTAACTGCTATTCTCTGTGGATTAATCTGCCTTGTGCTTTGCTGACGGCTATGGGTGATAGGGTTAGGCATGTTCGGGATCATGGGACATGGGAAGCTTTTGCCTCCCTAGAAGGGGAAACTTGAGAGCTGGTAGGATTGCTGGAAAAGATCCTTGCTCAACTGACAGTAGCCACCTAAACTTTTCAGTGTCGCTGCAATGGGCGGGTCTTTCTCTGGCATCCCTGATCATTTCGCCTTCCCCGCCCTGCCACAGACAATGCTTTTCTCTCCTTTCTCTTTCTTATCTTTTCTATTACTAAGGGCATCCATCTTGCCCAGAAACCAGGTGCTGAAACTCCTAGTCAGAGGTTGGATTAAAGATGATGAGGCCCATCTAAGGGCAAATTTAATTAAGCCTTGCCAGTTTGATACTGGATGCTAAGCAGAGTGGCTAATGTCTATGTTTTATCATGTGTATTTTTCTCTGGCCAGAACAAAAAATACTTTTCCTTTATGATGCGGTTTGGCCCCAAAGGAGGATGGTGCCACAAGCCAGATCACTAGGGCCACTGAGGGAAAGGGAACCCAAAAGCCTGGCATGCTGGCAAAAGGGTAAGACTTTCTTACCAGTCAGATTTCTGGCTTCTCTCCCTCTGTGCAAACAGTTGAATGAATGGGGGAAAAAATCAGTGTTTATTTCCTCTGTAAAGTTTTGATTCATGCAAAAAAGAATTCTAAGGCTAGTCTTAGCCTGGTGTATTTTGTGCTATGAATTCTTTTTTCTGTGTCGAGGGGTACTTTAGGATAAAACGTGCTTAGAACACCTGTGAGCCCACTTTTCAAGATGACCTAGCATGCTGGTCAGCAACAAACTTGGCCATAGGTCCCTGAAACAAACAAATCGGATGAAGTCTCCACCTTGTTTTATGTCCTTGGGAGCTTGACCTTTTAGCCACATGGTGGTACCTTCTCTTGGTCTCTGCCTTCCAGGGAACAGGAATTTTAGGGTTCATGTTATAGTTAGCTCTAAAAATCCTATTAAACAGGCTTAGAGTGCACCAAGACAGCTGCTCCCATGGATCTTGAGTTGAGGAAGGCCTTCGTAGAGCTTCAAGCCAGAGTTACTGACATTCAAAAGAAGGTAAAGCTCACAGACATACAGACTGAACAGCTAATCAGGATGAAAAAGCATGCACATCTTACAGAGATTATGCCTTTGGTAGATGAGACTAACATGTATGAAGGTGTAGGAAGAATGTTTGTTCTTCAGTCGAAGGAAGCAATTCACAACCAACTGTTAGAGCAGAAAATAGCAGAAGAAAAAATTAAAGAACTAGAAAAAGTCCTACCTGGAGCGGAGCGTTAAGGAAGCTGAGGATAACATGCGGGAGATGCTGATAGGCCCGAAGGACCCAGTAGGGAGCCTCTTGGGGAAGCTTTTCCTCCTGCTCCTCCCATCCCTGGTGGGGGCAGAGGAGTCTCTGCAGGGAAGCAGCTTCTCCTCTGCCCCGATGGACACTTTATCTGGACAGCCTGGCAAGGTCACATTTTCTGCGTCACCCTGAGCCCCTTTTGCTTCCCAGCCCTGGAGTTTTTACCCTGTCTTTGCCTGCCACCTCTGCCCAGGACACTCTTCCCTCGCGGTGTGTGATGAACTCGTAGGAGAGGAAAGATGGGAGCCAGGGCAGATAGGAAGCTCTGTCTGAGCTTTCCACTAGGCATGCCAGCCAGACCAATAAAAAATGTCAGTCCCACTCTGCTAAACTGCTTTTTTTGTTTGTTTGGTTTTTTGTTTTTTTTGGTTTTTTTTTATTATTGTACTTCAGGTTCTGGGGTACATGTGAAGATCATGCATGATTGTTGCATAGGTACACATGTGGCAATGTGTTTGCTACCTCCATCCCCCTGTCACCTACATCGGGCATTTCTCCCCATGTTATCCCTCCCTGATCTCCGTACCACCACCACCCCCCAGCTGTCCCTCCCTTGGCCCCCCCGCAACAGACCCCAGTGTGTGATGCTCCCCTCCCTGTGTCCATGTGTTCTCATTGTTCAACACACGCCTATGAGTGAGAACAGGCAGTGTTTGATTTTCTGTTCTTGCATCAGTTTGCTGAGAATGATGGTTTCCAGATTCATCCATGCCCCTACAAAGGACAATAACTCATCATTTTTTATGGCTGCATGGTATTCCATGGTGTATGTGTGCCACATTTTCCTTGTCCAGTCTATCGTCGATAGGCATTTGGGTTGGTTCCAGGTCTTTGCTATTGTAAACAGTGCCGCTATGAACATATGTGTGCATGTGTCTTTATAACAGAATGATTTATAATCCTTTGGATATATACCCAGTAATGCTTCTCTTAAGCCAAGGGATGGAACAGAGGGCGAGAGAGGCAGTGGCCATCTCCACCTCAGCTCCTGCTCCCTCTGCATCGGAGCCCTTCCTTCCTTGGGGGATGGGCTCTTGCCCTCTTCTCTTTTCCTTTCCTGTACCTTTGACTAACCCCTCAGCTTCCAGGCCTGCACGTAGCAGACAAGAGGAAGAAAGAACACTGACATGCACAGCTGAATAAGTGGACAGAATAGCAGTCCCTGGATGCAGTCTGCCTCAAGATTCCTTTCTCTGCCTTCTCCCATACATTCCAAAAGGAAGTTCAACAGTCAGCAGCACCTCCAAGACTATCTCCTTAGGCCAATATCATAAGATGGACGCCGTACTCCTGAGGCCTCCTAGAGGCCGAGGGGCCGCGGTGTGCTCCAGCTGGCTCATCCCAGCCCAGGTGGGCCAGTTATTCAATTTTCAAGAATTTTCTTGCAAGCCAGTTGTTAAACATACCCATTATAATAATGTAAATGTGTAAATTATGTTAAAAACAAGGAAAATAAATATTCAAAATTTAAAAAGTTATATTAAAGAATTAAAAGCCTTTGCAAGCTCAAAATTAACTACTCTGGACTCCTCTGGGAAAAGAAATGGAGAGCACTCCTTGCTGTAGCTCAGTAGCTAAGATCTTCCACTTTCATATTGGTGGTCAGGGTTTGATTCCCCACCTAGGAAGTCAGTTGTTTCTGGTTTAATAGCTGCATGACCTTGTCTTTTCTCTTCTCCTCCATGGACTGTCTTAAATTTTCATTTCTCTAAGCACCTAGGAGGTTACCTTTGGTAAAGTTCAGAAGCTCGAAATATTGGCTGCTTGGCATTGTTAAAGTCAAATAAGAGATCTGAAAGGGTTTCTTTTTTAAAGAGCACTATAGTTAGAAGTCAGCTTAATTATAAATGGATAAACAAGCAATAGATGATATATTTAAAATGCCATTAATGTTTTTCTCTTTTTGGAACTTGTTTCTCTGGAAAAATGTTTTTTCGTCTCAGTCAACTGAATTATTTTTCTCCATTTTAATTTTTTTTTTTTTTTTTTTTTCTTGCCACTCTTAATGCATACATGAGAGACTCTAAGATAACTTCTGGTAGACTGGGACTCCTTGGGAAAAACAAATAAGGCGCCACAGACCCCATTTTGGGGAAAAAAAAAACAAAACCAACCTTCTGTTTTCCTCATGAAACCACAGGAATTAAAAGCAGATAAATCCCTCTCAAAATCAAAGGCTCTGTTTTGTTTTGCATTGTGTTATCTGAAAGTTCTGAGTTTTTGGGGTATCAAAAATTACTTTGCATTATGAGAGAGCTTTGGTGTGTAATAACTAGGTAGGAAATATACTTTAAGGGATAGGTAATAGTAGTTATGGAGGGATACTTTGATTCTTCACATAGTTGCAACAGGGAAGCATGCTCTTAGCCACCTGGAAGATAAGGAAACATCTCCACCCACACTTGGAGGTCAGACTCCCATGAGGGATGGGCTGATTACAAAATGGACTGATTGGCTTCGGGTTTCCTTGCAATGAAATGCAGAATAGAAGCACTTCACTGTCTCCTCCCATAGTAATTCCCTCCTTTGGGGAATCTAGGAACCACTATGAAATGGCACCCTTAATTTTTCAGATCTGTCTTTGCCTTCAGCTGCTTATTTGCTGTTTATTTGACCATAGAAATGAATGCTTTCCCAGCCCCGTTCTTCCAAGGGCTCCACCCTGAAGCCACTAATCCAATTAAGAAACTGGCAAATGAAAAATCTTACAAGTGCTGAATCTTCTGTCTATTCATATGTGTTGTATGTATATAAAAGAGCTCTAATTAATTAGCTTAGGAAAATAAGCGCTTAAATCAAATATTTTGTCAGAAAAATATAAACTTTAATGCCTTTTTGTTCAGGTAAGTTTAGTGCTCTTTGAAAATAAAGACAGTTTTAAAGATTACTGGTAAAATAAAATGTCTTGAAAATGTAGACATTTGGTCTAAATTAAGGTCACATATCAAATTTTCTAAATGCTTTAAGGTCACACTGTTTAACATTTGAAAATTGTTCAATTGGGTCAGGTGCAGTGGCTCACGCCTGTAATCCCAGCACTTTGGGAGGCCAAAGCGAGTGGATCACCTGAGGTCAGGAGTTCAAGACCAGCCTAGCCAACGTGGTGAAACCTCATCTATACTAAAAATGCAAAATTAACCTGGTGTGGTGGCATACACTTGGGTGGCTGAGGCAGGAGAATCACTTGAACCCAGGAGGTAGAGGCTCCAGTGAGCCAAGGTTGCACCACTGCACTCCAGCCTGAGTGACAGAGCGAGACTCTGTCTCAAAAANAAAAAAAGAAAAAAGAAAATTGTTCAATTTATCTACCGTAAAGCCATTAGATTCTAGATAAGGCCTGGGGACATGTGGAGTTAGCCACGCCCCCTAGCTATGCTGCAAAGTCAGCTCTTAGCTGCACTTCTGCCTGGTGTGTCCCGGGCTAGGCTTCACACCTAGTACATAATTGAAATTCCTTACTAACCAAGGTTTTCACCAAAAATAAAAGTTGCAAAAAGTTAACATTGTAACATGCAATTGAAACAACTGAAGAAACAGTTTTACATGTAAGATATGTAAGGAAAGTAGAATGTACTTTTGGTAAAAGAGTATAAGAAGGCATGGGAATGTGGTGTTTTTTTGTTTTGTTTTGTTTTTGTTTTTTGCCTAAAGAATTAAAGAATTGTTTTAAATTAAATAGAATAAAGCTAAAGGCTTGAACACTTGTGGAAAGTTTAGAAAAAATTAATTGTAAAAAAGATTCTGTGTGTGGACATTGGCTAGAGTTAAAGGGATATTATTCAGTTTTTCCATAAACATTGGAATCAAAGCACAATAGGTTTTTTTCTTAGAGTACTGATCTGCTCTGTCACAAAAAAAAAATGTAAAGGGCTATAAAAGGTTTATAAGAATCTTACCTTATTGTTAAACATTAAAATTGGGTAAAAATGTCTATACGGTTTTATTAATAATTGATTTTAACATTAATAGTACATTAATGTAAAGGTGAAATTTGGCTTATTTGGTATAAAAACCATACAGGAAGCATTATCAAATGTGAAACGTTTTTCTTTCTTTAGACTATATTTGCATAAATGTGTTATTGGTATATCTTCCAAAGTTATGGGAAACTCCTATAATTCTAATATGACTTAGTGTATGTTATTAATAATTATAATTGTTATGTAAAATCTTGTGTGTCACAGAAGTAACCAAATTTCCTTATCAATTGTGGCTTTAATAGTGGCTGTCCTAAAAGTTTTTGTCATCCACAGGCAATTGTTGTCTTGTTTTAATCCTCTCTAGAAGGTGATTTATAATCAATTATAGAACTCTAGCAGGTGTTCCTAAATGCAAGTTTCTAATAACTTTGGAAATTGTAACATTAGAATAGAGGAAGCAACTTTCAGAACTCTCATGAAGAGCTAGAATGTTCATGAATATCAAGTAGAACAGGAGTTAGCTGAATTAACTAAACAAACAGAAAACTGAAGTAATCTTTTTAACTTTGCGTAAAACATGGCTGATACTTTGTTTTTCAGAGTCAGTGAAACTTTTCTTTTGAGCTGTTTACAGCTTGTAGCAATTGAGTCAAGTATACTGCTGTGAACAAAATTTGGAACATATTTCTCTCTACTTGATTTCTCCAGAATTTGGAAATTAGTTATGAATATTCTTAATTTATGGCAATATAGTTATTTGCATAAGTACAAAACAAATCTGTTTTCATTTGTAACAGGACACAATTGGAGAAACTGGTTATTTTACCAAGGCTTTGACTGGAATGGTGTGCTTTCCTTTAAGGAATCAAACTTGACTTATAGAGCCAATAAAAGCCCTGTGGGGAACTGGCCTCATACCTTGCCTACACAGTCCTTGAACAGGGTTTCTGACCTATGGTAAGTAAAGAATGTCACTTTCTCACAGGTCCAGGAGACCCAACTTATCTTGGGACCTCAAAAGGAGAGGAATTTTCCCAACTTATAGGTATTTGAGGGTACAAACCCATGACAGGGCTCAGCTTTAAGAAAATTCTTATCTGAGATTTCTTATGAAACAGAGTTCCCAAAAAGCTAATTAAAATGCCTATGTGAAAAATAATTATTCTTGTTGCACTTTATACAAATAATTAGGCCAAGTATAATAAAGCAAATCAGTCTTACCATAATTTGTCTTTAGTAAAAATGGGAAACTAGAGAAATAGTATGTTTCAAGAACTATGGTATACTTATTATTAAATTTTAGGCTCACTAGTTGTTTTTAAGTTTGTTTCTGCAATTTAGGCTAATCCTGTTTATTCCTGTGAACCAACCAGTGATCTCTCACTGCTGCTCAGAAGAAACAAGAGGGATGGGTAATGTAAAAGTCTGGATCAGGATTCTAATTCTGAGGACATTGCAATCAGCTATGGACCCCGTATCAGCTTGGTTTCAACAGTTGCACTGTTCATGGAAAGTCTTCTAATTTAGTTTACTTGGAATAACTTATTTTGCTTTACTCTCAGAGACAATATTGCTGTTATACTCTTCGTGTAGGAATACAGAACAAGCTTACTGAATGTTTTCTTAAACTAAACACTTATTAATCTTCCAGATATCACCTCTTGTCAAAACTTAAGGGTCATGAATGACCCTCACCATACTGATGCTTTCTGACTAAGCTCCTCTATATCCTGAATGCAATAGACCCTCATAGTTAGGCAGGAATATCATCACCCTTATTCAGCCTGAAGAAGTTACAGAAAATGGATCTTTGTCCCTCTGCAACCCTTAGGATTAATGGTTCTCTTGTAAAAGAAAGGGGGGAAATGTCAGAAATGGCAATGAGAACAAAAGAAAATCTATCTTTTGAACGTTTAAATTGACAAGGCTTTGATAGTCTGCTACACCCACTGCCTATTTTCATGTGTTTAACTAAAGTGTGTGTGTGTGTGTGTGTCTGTGTGTGTGTGTGTGTGTGTGTGTGTGTGTGTCTGTGTGTGTGTTACCCTGCTCAGAACCAATTTAAGTGCAAAACAAATTGTTTAAAAATCTTTGGGCTGGGCCGGGCGCGGTGGCTCACGCCTGTAATCCCAGCACTTTGGGAGGCCGAGGCGGGTGGATCACGAGGTCAAGAGATCGAGACCATCCTGGTC